ATCCAAAGTAATTGGGCACAACATGCACCGGCCGCAATGTACTCGGCCTCGGCAGTGAAAAGGGATACACAATTTTGCTTTTTAGAACTCCAAGACACTAGGGATCGTCTAAGGAATTGACATGTCCCCGAAGTGCTTTTTGATCTACTTTGCAACCGCCGTAATCAGAATCCGAATACCCAAGTAGATCAAACTTAAAGCCCTTAGATACCATAAACCAAGGTTAGGAGTGTGTACTAAATATCTCAAGATTCTCTTAACGACCATCAAGTGACACTCTTTCCGGTTAGCTTGAAATCTAGCACACATGCACATACTAAGCATAATATCGGGCCTAGATGCGCACAAATAAAGTAGAGAGCCGATCATGGAACGATATACCTTGGTATCCACGGCTTTCCCTTCAATGTTGAGATCAAGATGTCCATTGGTTGGCATGCGAGTTTTGATAAGCTTGGCATTCACCATGTCAAACTTCTTGAGCATATCATGGGTGTACTTCGTTTGACTAATAAAAGTTCTATCATTCACTTGCTTGATTTGAAATTCGAGGAAGAACTTCAACTCACCCATCATGGACATCTCAAATCTCTTCGTCATGATCCTACTAAATTCCTCATAAAAAGTATGATTAGTACTACCAAATATTATGTCATCGACATATATTTGGCACACAAATATATCTTTACCAACTTTGTGAGTGAAAAGGATAGGGTTGGCTTTGCCTATTTCAAAGCCTTGTTTAAGCAAGAATTCCTTAAGACATTCATATTATGCTCTTGGTGCTTGCTTAAGTCCATAGAGCGCCTTTTGGAGTTTGTAGACATGGTTGGGGAACTTGGAATCTTCAAAACCTGGTGGTTGCTCAATATAGACAAGTTCTAGAATGGGGCTATTGAGGAATGCACTCTTCACGTCCATTTGATAAAGCTTGAAATTGTGATGAGCGGCATAGGCTAGAAACATTCGGATTGCTTCAAGTCTTGCCACCGGTGCATATGTTTCCTCAAAGTCCAAGCCCTCTACTTGAGTAAAACCTTGAGCAACCAATCTTGCCTTGTTTCTTGTCACCACGCCATTCTCATCTTGCTTGTTGTGGAAGACCCACTTGGTGCTAATGATATTGAGAGAATTCCTTATTTGACACTGGGAAAATGAGTCGTTCTTTTCTTGGCCCTGAAATTTTCTTCGTTCCCTATTTGACACTCACTTCAACTTTTATCCCTAATTTGACACTACCGTCAAATCCGTTAGCTAACGGTGTTATCTGGCTGTTAAAAAGATGTTTTTGCCCCTAGAAAAAAGCGACGAAGCAAATTTGAGAGAAAAAAAACCTACGCCTTTTTTTGCAGCTGGACGCATGCATCAGAGGCGGGAGCAGGTTTTTTTTCCTCTCAAATTTGCTTTGCCACTTTTTTTCTAGGGGCAAAAACGTCTTTTTAACAGCTAGTTAACACCGTTAGCTAACGGATTTGACGGTAGTGTCAAATTAGGGATAAAAGTTGAAGTGAGTGTCAAATAGGGAACGAAGAAAATTTCAGGGCCAAGAAAGGAACGACTCATTTTTTCAGTGTCAAATAAGGAATTCCCTCAATGATATTGGTGTTGGGTCTCTCCACCAAGGTCCACACTTGATTTCTTTCGAAATTGTTGAGCTCAACTTGCATGGCCATCACCCAATCCGAATCACCAAGTGCTTGTTCAATCTTAAGAGGTTTCAAAGAGGCAACAAATGAGTAATATTGGCAAAAGTTTACTAAATGTGAACGAGTTTTACCCCTTTCAAAGACTCCCAAGGATGTTGTCAATGGGATGATCTCGTTGTATTGTTTGCCTTAGCCTTGGATGATCAATGGCCTCTTGTCCATCTTCTGGATCTTTATTATCTTCTTACTCGAATATGGGTTGTAGGTTCTATCCTTGAATCGGAGTTGGACTTGCTGCTGCTGTCAGAGGGAGTGTGGCACTGCCACTCTTATGTGCGGCACTACCGCTCTACTGATTTGCAGCAGGGGTTTGCTCCCCCTCAGCATCAGGTAGGTCAACAGAACTTTGTTCATTAGCAGCTTGAGAAACCACCACTTCAGTGACTTCGTCTTCTTGTGGTCTTATATCACCAATAACCAATTGCTTGATTACTTCACATGGTGGATCCTCCTTTCCTACAACACTTAAATCAACTTGCTCCACTTGAGAGCCATTAGATTCATCAAATGTCACGTCTACCGTTATTTCAACTCTCCCGGAGGTTTTGTTGAAAACACGATAAGTATGCTCATTTGATCCATAACCAAGAAAAAATCTCCATCAACTTTAGGTGCAAACTTAGAGGTTTTGTGTTTCTTATTAAGTATGAAACACTTGCACCCAAACACTCGAAAGTAGGACACCTTTGGTTTGTTACCGGTTAGAAGCTCATATGAAGTTTTTTCAACTTCTTATGTAGGTAGAGGCGGTTGATGGCATGGTAAGCGGTGTTGATGGCTTCACACCAAAAGAAGCCCGGCGTCTTGTACTCATTTAGCATTGTCCTTGCCATGTCAAATAGTGTACGATTCTTCCTCTCTACTACACCATTTTGTTGAGGGGTGTATGGAGTTGAGAACTCATACTTGATGCCTTCTTCATCAAGAAACTCCTCAACTTGGGTGTTCTTGAATTCGGTCCCATTATCGCTTCTCATTTTTTTGATGGAGAGACCAAACTCCTTTTGAGCTCTTCTAACAAAAGTCTTCACTTTATCTCTAACTTGACACTTATCAAACAAGAAAAATACCCAAGTAAAACGGAAATAATCATCAACAATAACAAGACCATATTTGTTACTCCCAATACTTAGGTAGGCGACCGGTCCAAAGAGATCCATGTGTATGAGCTCTAATGGTTGCGTCGTGGTCATGATGCTCTTTGGTGGATGAGGTACGCCAACTTGCTTTCTGGCTTGACAAGCGCTACATATCCTATCTTTCTCAAAGTGAACATTTGTTAGCTCAAGAATGTATTCGTCCTTTTGAAGTTTGACCAAATTCCTCATCCCAACATGGGCTAGTCGGCGATGCCAAAGTCACCACATGCTAGATTTTGCCACTAAACAAGTCTTAAGATTAGCTTTACTTTTGTTGAAATCAACTAGGTAAAGCTTATTCTTTAAATGATCTGTAAAGACAATAGAGGAATCCTCCTTTCTAAAGACTTCCACACCCTTATCCGTAAAGAGACAATTGAAGCCCATCTCGCATAATTGAGAGACGGATAACAAATTGTAACCTAATGAATCAACATGTAAAACATTTATAATTGAATACTCAAGGGTTATAGCAACTTTACCGAGACCAATCACATCCCCCTTAGAGTTGTCTCCAAAGAGAATATTTTCATTTGAGTCCATCTTCGGGTATATGATGAGAACATACTCCTTTCTCTGGTCATATGATTTGTACATCCACTATCAAGCACCCAACTTGATCCACCGGAGGAGTATGCCTGCAAAACAGATTTAGTTGCTTGATTGAGGTCCCCAATTAGACTTGGAGCCTTGCATGTTAGTCACAAGAAATTTAGGAACCCAAATAGAAGTATTCTTATATGTGTTGGCTTCCTTTCTAACATATTTGACAACCACTTTTCCACTGCTGCTGTTCCTTAAAACAAAACACGAAGTCAAGCTTTGTCGAGGTGGTTGAAACTTTGGTTGGTAGGCATACTTGTTCATAGTGCCCCACATTGATTCCTTTGGCTTCTGCTGAACCTGTTTTTGTTGGGATACTTTCTTCTTGGGCTTAGTTTGATCAGGAGCAGAATTGGTAGCCTTCTCATTTTTTTCGGGGAGCGACACTGCCGGCCTTCACTGCGGCACTGCCGCTGTCTGTGTAGGCTGATCTGTACCAACTTTCCTTCCTCTCAAACTTGATACACTCATAGCCATTTATGATTTTTCTTCCATTTGTCCTAGCTCCTGCAGTGTGTCCAAGTCCATGCTTGATTGAGGGGCGTCTCCCTTGCTTGAATTGAGGCACTTTTAAATCATTTGCCTTCTTGTCACTTAGTTTGAGCCTTACCACTCAAGCCACCGAATAGAGTGACAAAGAGCACCAAATCATCTGCATAAAAGGCGCTCGACACCGAATAGAGTGGTGTCCCAATGACCTGAGGAAACTATGACTGTCTGCCAAGCAAATCAGCTAATTTGGGACGTCCATGACCAACACAAATAGCATCAGGAAAGCGGGTCTCCTTGCTGGAGGCTCCCGGGGCACCCATTAAGCAGAATTTTTGTGCTTGCCGAGGAAAGAATAATAGCGATCCAGTCCCTCCACTGTTTGCTAAAACCCAGAAACTGCAGCAGTTCAAGCAAGTTCTTTCAATGGCTTCTAGATCTCGTTTCTAGTGGTGAGTGGATTTTGCGGTTTTTAAAGCCATTTCTCTTGTCATGTGTTTAGTGCGATCCTCAAGCTTGGGCTGGTAGTTGACGATCGAAGGACCAATTTGACCTTTCATGTACTTTTTTTAAAGATCGTTTTATGTAAAACAGTTTATCTTTTGTACTATCAATTGTTTCCCTAAATATCGAATATGGGACACTCTTTTAGGTGTCTTAATTAAAAAAACTAGCAATTGAAGAAATACTCTGGGTGTTGATTTTTTAATACCAAAATATTTATAGTTTTTCTTCCTAATAACAAACTGAAGTTATCTTATAAATTTGTTGTATTTTCCTAGTCCTAGTGCTAAAAAAATATGTCTTCGTTTTCGACACAAAACTGAAGCTATCTTTCGTGGAAGAGTAATTTATAGCTGTTTCCAAGTTGCACAACGACGTGTTAATAAACAGCCCCAAATGAAAATAAACAATTTCAGTTGATTTTAAATGACAAATAAAAAGAAAAATAAAAACGAAAGGTCCCCTGTACCGCATCTGTGCTGGTCTATCGCCCTCTCCGAACTGTCCGCATCGAGCCATACAAAGGCTAACCAAAGGGAATCACCCTTCTCCAGCCAAGCTACTCCTGCAACTCGTCGAGCGCCTTGAGCAGGAACGGCTTGAACCTTGTCATGTTGACCATGACATCCTGCTTCATGATGATCTCGGCGATGCCGGGCCACCCCTGCGCGTGGATGCGCATTGGGTCCTTGAACACGTAGTGATCCCTGGGGTACTTGTCCTTGAGCGTCGTCTCCTCCTCCGAGACGTAGTACTCCACGTACCGGAGCCGCATGTCGCGCGCCGGCTGCCCATAGAAGTTGGTCGCCATCCAGTCCATCTTCCCCCAGGGCACGATCTGCACAAGCACGGCACCCGTCGGCAGGAAGATCTGGTTCGTGAGCCCGGCACCGTGCACCGCGAGGAGCACGTCGGCCGCGTTCACCCTGTCCGCGAACCCACGCACGTCAGCGCCGGCCTCCGCCACGGTCACCGCGAAGCCGAGCGCCTCGCACAGCGCGGACACCTCCCGCAGGTTGAGCAGCTTCCGCGTGCCCTTCCGCTCGATGATGAGCATCTTAGGCTTGGCGCTGGTCTCCTCGCCGAGCACCGCCGGCGCGTCGCGCGGCAGGTTAAAGGCACGGCGGAGGAACCGGTTGTAGTCGACCATGGAGTAGTTGTGCGGGTTGCGCGTCGGGTGAGGGGAGATGATGAGGTCGCGGTCGCGGTACATCCCGAGGTGGCCTGACCGGAAGCAATGCACCTCCTCGTCCTTGTCGAAGTTGATGACATCGTAGTTGGAGAGCTTCTTCAGAAGGGGCGTGAACTTGTGCACCCACCAAGGCTTGAAGTTGGTGATGAGGAACTGCACCTCTCCTTTCAGGTGCTCCGTGGTGAGGAACAGCGGGATCAGCACGTCCGTGTTGTCGTGGAAGAAGTTGTCCGTGTACCCGGCCACGGAGAAGACCACCACCGGGACGTCGTGCCGGCGCGTGCACTGTGGCGCGACCGCGGCCGAGGACACGGACTTGATCGTGACCTCCACGACGCCAGGGAGGAGGAAGTCGTCCTTGCGGGCGAACGGGCGAATCTTCTTCTCCCCGTTGGAGTCGAACGGGCCGGCGCCGGACGGGTTAACCAAGTACATGGCTTTCTCCTTGGGACTGATACGGATGTCGCCGGCGAGCTCACACACCGGCGGGCGCGCGTACGGGAAGCCCTCGTCAACGCCGTTCTCGTCGCAGGTGATCTTTGCCTCCGAAATGGCACCGGCTGAAGAAAACACAGAGGTTTGTGCATGTCTTAATTACATCGTATTGGTACACGGGCTACTTCATAATTAAAACGCGTCCAGAAACGAATACAAATACGGAGTATATAGTTTATCATCATGCAAATTAAAAGTTGGAGTACTTCGAGAATTAATGAGATACCCTTTCCAACGTGAGGAGGAAATGCAAATACCTGGCTTCGTCGTTGTGGCCTCCTCCTGTTGATCCTTTTCTGTTGTGACCTCTGGTAAGTTTGGCATGTTCGGGTCCGCCTCAGGGTCAGGAACATCTTTCTGGTCCTCCACTTGGGTCTCTTGCTGCACCGGCAGCGTCTCTGTAGCCGGCACCGTCGTCGTTGCCGGCGGCGTGTTCTTCAACACCAGGGACGAGCTGTCTGTTGCTCAATTCGTTGAAGGAACTCTCATCACTGAGCTAAGCATACATGTGAAAGAAAGTACCAGACATCCAAGAGAGAGACGAATTCTTAGTGGGGGAATCGGATTCAAAGGCCTTACCAAATACGGGCGAGTAGATGGCAAATAGCCGGGCAAAGGAGAGATAGGTGAGCAGCGCGAGGCAGCAGCCGGCCACCAGCCCGATGCCCAGCTTCTTGGGCTCGATCCTGCCGAGCTCCTTGGCCAGCCGCGGTCCTTTCCTATCGCCGGCCGCCGGCCCAGGCGGCTTAGATGGCCGCGAGTACGCCGTTGACGCCATCAACGCCCACGCTCACAAAGAATAACAAAACACGCAACCTTAAGGCAGGGCCGGGCCGGTCTCCGGTGCTGATATGTACTGCCGGCGATGGCCACCGCGGCGCATCTCTTTTCTAAGGCTTATAAAAACGCGACAGGCGGCCGAGGTGATGTAACATGTAGAGGATGATTGATCTGTTTGGAAATGAATTGTACTCCCTCCATACTTAAAAATAAAATCGTTTTGACAAGGCTTGGGTCAAACATTAGGAATATAAATTATGAATAGTTTTTAAATTGTTGGGTTTGGAAATATAAAAGCCATATAAATAGATTTGTCTTGACAAAAGCTTTCATAAAAATATACATATATCACTTTTTGATAAATATTTTTTATAAAAATAAGGAGTCAAAGTAATACTTTAGAGGCCACGTCGCTATTCTAAACGACTTTATTTATTTTTTTTTTAGTACGGAGAGAGTATACTTGTTGTTCGTTGGGGTTGGGGTTGGGGTTGGGGTCGGGGGTCGTGTGGCGTGGCGTGGGTTGGTGGTGATGGTGCGAGTACTACGACCAAGGCGAGGCGGCTTCGTCGCCCTTAGCTTCCCTCCCTCTGTTTGACTTGTCCAGAACCGGTGCACAATAATTAGGCTTGCTTACCGAATTCCATGTTAGACAGTAGGACTCATTCATCCATCCTTTATTCGACTTTTGCTATCGCAGCAGCTTATTTCAATTTCGCCTCAGGGATTGGTTGGTTTAGGATGGAGACGGATGCGAGCATGGAACAGGTCGCCGGGAACAGAACTATTGCATTGGTTGCTTCCTTTGACACTCCACCGTGACTGAGCTGGGTCGCCGCTATCAGTGCCGGAGGATTACAGCGGTTAGGCCTCGTTACACCGGAGGATTCCGTCGGTTAGGCCTTGTTGTCCCGCCCCCTGCCAACTTAGTCAGCCATATAAATGGTCTAGAATCGGGAGTGGATGGAACTCGGATGGAACTCGGGCAATCGCATGTAAATATTATTGGTCGCGGTGATTTGTTTGTTTATTTATGGAATAATCGGGAGTGGATGGAATAATATGTTAGGTATAACGCACCTATCGCCCGAGTTGATGTCACATGTCAGGCCTTAGCTAGTATTTTTGCGATTTCTTTAATTACTTAGATATATAGTAGTATATATGAATTATATAAGTGTAGTTTTTTTCTTGAAAATTAAGAAGAGTCATTACACACCCGCTGACTAATAACAAAGTCCGGAACCAATATATATAGAAAAGAAACGTGACACTGACTCTATTCTATTCATTCAATCGCTAAATATACGCTAACTCATAGTACATCACAATCTTAGTTTGCTCTCTCCCGTAACGCTAGGCAATGGACAGAAGGCTGACTTCGCTGGTTGCAACGGCAGGCGCACCGGTGCACTGCATAAGCTTAACACAAGGAAAAATAGAATGGTCACCGTTTGACTTAGACAACAATAATAATTCATTTTAGCACTGTATTTAGGACCAGTGGTGGTAATAAATAGCCAGACCAAAAGCACACGCAGAAAAAGCAAACTGATATCTCTCCCTCACGCACTCACCATGAAATCGCAGACCAGATGCCGCCAGCCCACGCGTCAGCCACCCACCCTGGTGATCAGACGGCCAAGACCATAACGAACTCCAAGATCTGACGGCGCAGATCCGTTTATAAACCCGTATATATTCAGCTCATCCCAACTGACCGATGCTATATAGCTGATGAAAATGGATATTAGACATTGACTACGACATAAACACTAATCTCATAGCTGACCTCGTGCAGTCGTGTGTTCTGCTACAAGAAATGGCCTTGACGGAAGAAGCCGACTCAATAAAATGGGTGCTCTCTGCAAAATGAAAACAGTCGGCAAGGTCTGCATACAACGCCTAGTTTGAGGGACAAATCAAAAGCCAAACGGCTAAAGCAATATGGAAAACCAAGGCAACCCAACAAATGCAGGTTCTTCATCTAGCTAATGCTACAAGTTAAAATCTGGACGACGGCAAGGATGAAACCGAGAGGTTGGCCAAATAACTATTTCTGCCAATTATGTGTTCGGAATCTTGAAACAACGTACCACCTGTTCGTCGAATGCACATTGTCGAAGCAAATTTGGGCATCCATAGTGGATTGATCTAACAGAAGAAGCCTGCAAAACGTGGACTACCCAAGACGGCATAAAACAATAGTTTGTGCATCGGGATGCTGTGGAACAATCATTAGCCAAACAAGGAACATGAGCACCAACAATGCTGACAATATGGAAGATTCGGCTGGAGAGAAACAACAGAGTTTTAAATTTTTTTTAGATAATGAAACTATCGGCTTCATTCCTCTTTAGAAAAGAGATATTGGTCCAAAGTTAAACAAATACATCCACTTTAAACGCTTACAACAGTTTCACAATATTATTATAAACGGAAAAAAAATGACAATCCATTGAATGCGAAGAACTCCATGGTGCAGGATTCTAAGATTCGACCCGCATGCCTCAATCATCTGATGTTTGCGATCATCCATGATCTGCAATAGAGCCTAGAACCGAAGCTAGTACATCCCTCTGAATAGAACCTACAAAAACATTTTTGGGTGACATTTATTAAACACTATATCATTCCTGGTTAGCCAAATATATATCCCAGCAAAAAGTTGCAACCATAGTCAATAAGATCATATTATGTTTTGTCCCCCCCCCCCCAACTTCGACCAACTTCCAAACATACAGTAAAAATGTCGAGGTGGTTTGATTCTGAACACAACATGGACCGCATGCCAAAGGAAACATGGTTTTTAATTGGAAGGAAAGAACAAGAGAACCAATCACTGACAAAAACCAAAGGCAGCTTGGTTAATAGTTTGCAGAATAAGAGATGGAGGATTGGGAGTCCTTAACATTAAGACCCAGAATGAAGCTTTACTAATCAAATAGTTACATAAATTCTTTAATAGAGAAGACTTTTCATGGGTCTCACTAATCTGGGAGAACTACTACAGCCCTGGCAAGTTGCCTGGTAACTCAAAGAAAGGCTCTTTCTGGTAGAAAGATGTGCTCAAGCTTTTAGACAAATTCAAAGGGATGGCAAAGGTCAACATCAATGATGTAAAATCCTGTTATTTCTAGGAAGACCTATGTGGAAGTGATGATCTTACACATAAATACCCAGAACTGCTCACCTTTGAAAGAGGAAAGATTCTAGTACCTCTTCATCTACCCCTATCCCAACAAGCTCATGCACAGATGGCACAGGTACAGAGAGACCTCCATGAGATTATTTTAAACAATATGCCCGATAGTTGGTCATATATTTGGAATTTCAGGACTTTTTCAGGAAGAAAGGCCTACAAGCACTTAAGTGGTCACTAATACTACACCTAGCCTTCAACTGGAACCGGAAGAGCTCTTGTCAAAACAAACACAAAGTTTTCTTTTGGCTATTACTAAAGGAGAGGCTCAGCACAAGGGGTTTACTGAAAAGCAAAAACATGACATTACAAGGTTACAATTGTCCTCTATGCAATGGTTCTGCAGAGGAAACACTAATTCATATGTTTATTCATTGTACTTTTACTACACAATGTTGGGCTTGGTTAAAATTCAGGTGGACCATAGTATCGGTCCCTTCCAAGCTTTACAAAGTTTTAAAGATCAATTACATGTGCCTTTCTTCATGGAAGTCATCATTTTAATGTGTTGGACAATTTGGAAAGCCAGGAACGACCTCATATTCCAATGGTCATATCCGACATTGCAAAATTCAAAAGGCTACATCAGGATGGAGCTCGTGCTGTTACTTCTCTGAGCCAAGAAAACCTACTCGCCTTAGATCAATCAATGGATAGCAAGTCTTTCTTAGCTTGGATCCTGTTTTCAGTCTCCCTCCCCTTACCCCTCTTGTGACCTTTTCTCTGTACTTGTTCGCTGCCTTTAGCAGCTTTTAATCTATTTTGAGTAGGGGCTTGCCGCTCCTATTTCCCTAAAAAAATGTTGGTGTGTTGCAAGATAAAATACAAGGCCCTGGAAATGATTCTACCAGAGTACTAGTGCAATTGGTTAACAACCAAGCCTTAGAAAATCTACGCGCTCCTGGCACGCTTTGTATTTTTTCCATTAACATATCTTTTGAAAAAATATATTTTGCTCTCTCCCTATTTTGACATAGCTCCAGCGTAGCAGCAACCAACTATCATGTCCTAAATGAGAGGCTGGTTTCATAGGGAACCTCGTAGCCGATGTCGATGCTGCCACGAGGAGATTGATCTAGGGTACGCCTCCCGATGGGCATGGTGATTGGGGGTGTTCATGTAGCATTTGTGTAGATGAGAGAGGCCATCGTCGTCCTTCTCCTCCTCCGACTCGATGTACTCGAGAAGGAGTTGGTTGCAGTTGTCGAGGAACCGAAAGAACTCGGCGGGATTGATGAGGCTGGGTGGAGCGATCCTGAGATCGCTGGCATCGATATCAACACCGTCCGACCCTTACTGCTCGGTGCCTCCCTCGCTAAGATTGCGGATGATCACTATAATGCATCGTTGGTTGAAGTCATCATCATCGCTGCTTGTCACGATCTTTAGATTTCTCGGTACGAGTTCGGTGGGTACCACCGTGGCCTGTCGAAGCCAGCTCGAATGTGTCGCTCAGCGCATTCCTTAGCCCCTAGAAACCATGGAGCTCGGACGTGGTCGGGTAGCGGTGATGGATGTGTCTCAGGACCCAGTCTATATCCTTTCAGACCTAGAAAGTCCCGTCAAGTTCGTGCTCTCGAACGGCTTCAGCGAGGACGTCGCGGCTGTAGCGGCTCAGGTGGCGGGTGAGAGCGAGCGGCTCTCCGTCCATAGCTTCCTCCAGTCCGGCAACGAATGCGCAGACCGGGGGTGGCTGCTCCTCTTGTTGTGCGGATGATTCGGGTTCTTGCAGACGTAGGTTCCTGAGTTGATCGGTGATGAAGTCTTGGTTGTCGAAGGTGATCTTCGAGCTTGAC